AATCGATTTCCCGGTAGGGGGGCTCTCCGTTCCACTTCGATCTCACCCCCTCACCTCCGATGCAAGCTACATGGCGCAGACAGACTAAGTGGTGCAATAGATGTAGCATCATGTATGGTGTGCAATCCATGTGGCGCAAACACTGTGGTGTCATGCGTGGTGCCATATATGTCGTGCAATCGATGTGTGATGGGAGCTAACGTACTCATCTATGTGGCGCGGGCTCTGTCACGCAAGCTACGTGGTGCAATATATGTGGTAAGAGACACCGTGCTCCTCTGTGTGGTGTGAGCGCTGTCGTGTAAGCTATGTAGTGCCATTGATGCGATAGGAGATGACGCATTCATCGATGTGGTTTGAGCAGTCGATTGGATTGCTATCGATTGGTTGGGCCGCAGCACAAAACAAGGCCAGCACGACGAGGCGGCGAGGGGGCGGCGACGGCGAGCACATAGCCGCCAGACCGACGACACGGCCCAGGCGACGGGCGGCGACGAGGCGGCGACGGGGCGGCGACGGGGCGGCTACGGCGAGTACAAAGGCGCCAGACCGACGACACGGCCCAATTCCTCAGAACAGAAATAGGAACCCCCATCTGCGTGCAAGCAGTGTGTTGGGGATACCGATGTGTGTATACATATATATATATATATATATATATATATATATATATATATATATATACATGATAATACCCAGACGCTGCTTGCACTTAGGAGCTCTTACTTCTCTTCCAACGAACTGGCCCGAATTTCGGTATAACGGCCCCGTGTTCGGAAACGCCGCCTCGTTGCCGCCTCGTCGCCGCCCGTCGTTTGGGCCAAATTGTCGGTCTGGCGGTTCCGCTCTCGCCGTCGCCGCCCCGTTGCCGCCTCGCCGCCGCCCGCCGCCTGGGACAACTTACTTTCAACCCTGGCCGCACGACAAAAATTGCGCAACACAGATCGCACCACCTGTTTTGCACCACGCATATCGCGCAACACAAACTGCACCGCTTAACATGCACCACGTAGGCTGTCCTACATAAGCTGCTCCACCTAGATTGCGCAATACTGGTCGCATCATGTACGTTTCCCTTTTTTTGAAAAGCAACTAGAATCAACCACCCTCATCCTTCCTCGTCGGCAAGCCCCTTTGGGAATCTGCAATGTACATATGAGTCCTCCCCGGTGTGCATTCCAGCCATGAAAGCATTTCATCTTAGCTAGGCCGGGCCCGCCCTCGCCCATCAGTTTTGTCAAAGTGTGTAACGCGCGCGCACGCTTTCTCAAAAACCATGTGGGACGATATGCGCACGCGCGTCGTCGCACGCGCGTGTGTCGGAATATTTTACAAACGTGCGGTCGTGTGACGATTTCAAAAATCAACGCCCCCGAATACGTTTGAGAACACATGCTTTTGCAGCATGATTCCTCGAACGCAAACGCGCGCAATCATGCGAATTTGGGGGAAAGATCGGGTTTTCAGAATTCAATCGAAACGAAACCAAACAATTTCCCGCGCGCGCATGTCGAAATCATTCGAACGCTTTTGCGCGCGCTGGGGGGGAGGCAGGATCCCGGTCGAAGAATACCATGCGGGCCACTCGGGACCGTCGGCCGCGCGCGCATGTCGAAATTTCCCGAAACCCTTCAGCGCCGACACGTGCGGACATCATCGCCACCGGCGTGATCAACACCAGTGTGGTTCATTCCCTTGCCGTTGTCATTGTCATCCTCGTCACCATCATCTTTTATATCATCATCGTGCCTGCCATTGCCGTCGTCGCCATGCTACCGCGCCCGCCCGAGTCACCGAGATCGAATTGACATACCCGCGCGCCAGCACGGCCTCCGAAACGCGTTGGGGAATCACCAGCGGTCAGCGTCACCGAGACTGCGTCGGCCGCGCCAGACTAACTGGCCACTCTGCGCGCAAGCCTGCGCGTGGTAGCGCGGCCGCAGCGACGCGCCAGCCAGCGCACAGCAATCATCGCAATCGCCGCCGCATTGGTTTTTCAAACCAAGCTGCGGGAGGGTGGGTGGGATGATTGCGCGACCAGTGGACTTGACAACTCATTGCAAACGAAAGATCTGCATCACATATATTGCACCACTTAAATCGCACAACAGACACTGCACAACATAGATCGCACCACATACGTTGCACCACACATATCGCACCGCGCAATTTCCCCCTTGGGAGAAAAACGGGTCAACCACCCCACCCCCTCACCCCTTCACCCGGTTCCACGGTATCCCCCTGCATCCTACAATTTACACGCGAGTCCACCTCGCCGTTCATGTTAGGTACGATTACACACCACGCCAGCCAAACAACTGATCGGTATTTCCTCTCATCCGCGTGCGAAAGCACTCGTTCACCAAAACCCAGATGTGCCCCAAAACCCGATGCAACAAATGACACAATCCACACGCGCATGGCGTCGCGCGCGCATGCCAAAATTCTTTCGTACATACAAAAACGCGGGTCTCGTATGCATTTCCAGATCGGTGTTCCC